GTGGTTGTTTTTTGAGACAGGGTTTCTCTGTGTAGCTTTGGAGCCTAGAACTTTGGAACTCACCCTGTAGACCAGGCTGGCCACGGACTCACAGAAATCCACCTGCCTCTGCCTCCTGGGTGCTGGGATTAAGGGCGTGCGCCACCATCACCTGGCCAAATAACCACTGTTTGTCAGCACCCTTTCTTTCTTTCTTTCTTTTTTTTTTTTTGTATTGGTTTTTCGAGACAGGTGTAGCTTTGTGCCTTTCCTGGAACTCACTCTGTATCCCAGGCTGGCCTCGGACTGTCAGCACCCTTTCAAGAACTCAATAACACCAAGGTGTTTCCTTTAGTCAACCATCACACTTGCTGAGTGTGTACAACAGAGGTGGTGTCTGCTCTTATAGAGCATCAGCACCAGGCAGGATCGTCTAAGGGTGTAAACTATTGTGTCCCACTCCAGGAAGTTCAGGGTAAGTTCACTGATGCCTTATCAGACCCTAGGTCAATGATTCTCAACCTGTGGGTCACAAGCCATTTGAGGGTCAGATGACCCTTTCATAGGGGTTGTACATCAGATATTTTGCATATCAGATATTTACACTACAATTCATAACAGTAGCGAAAATGACAGTTATAAAGTAGCAATGAAATGATTTTTTTTTGGTTGGTGGTTACCATCATATGAGGGTGGCAGTGTGAGAAAGCTTGAGAACCACCAGGGGATTGATTCTAAGACTGCAGAGCAGTGCTTCTGACTTTTAGCTGTGGGCTTGTGTCCTTGGGGCAGAATCACTGTTCACTCTACTACTCTTCAGTTTAGTCACAGTCTCTGGGGGACCCTGCGGTGAGCTAAATGCGGCCAGGTATGTGGCAGGGGAGGCCCTGGGTGGAGGCCCTGAGAAGCCACTGCTTGAAGCGATGAGAGAGAAGCCTGGATTGTGTTGAAGATGCTAAGGTGTGGGAGATGCCAACATCAGCATGGCTACTAGAAATATAAGTTCATAGCCTCATCCCAGATCCTGAAACAGAATGTGTTTTAATCTTCTGATTTGTAGATCTCAGAATCACTGGTACCTAAATAACATCTCCATCCCAGATTATTTTTGAGGCAAATATCAAATGGTATCTAGATATATCTCTTTATTTAAAAAATATAACCACATACCACAATGTCCTGTGAGGAGAGTTTATAATGCCTTATATCAAATATCAAGCTTATTTCTTTCTTAGGTATTTTTAGCATTGCAGATCAAGTCCATGGTCTCACACATGCTATTATTTGTAATTTTTAAAATAGTTTGATTCAGCCGGGCGGTGGTGGCTCACGCCTTTAATCCCAGCACTCGGGAGGCAGAGGCAGGTGGATCTCTGTGAGTTCGAGGCCAGCCTGGACTACCAAGTGAGTTCCAGGAAAGGCACAAAGCTACACAGAGAAACCCTGTCTTGAAAAACCAAAAACAAAAAAATAGTTTGATTCAGTTAAAATAGGATCTGCATATTGCATTAGGTTGATTTTTCTTTTTCTTTTTCTTTTTTTTTTTTTTTTTTTGGTTTTTCGAGACAAGGTTTCTCTGTGTAGTTTTGCGCCTTTCCTGGAACTCACTTTGTAGACCAGGCTGGCCTCGAACTCACAGAGATCCACCTGCCTCTGCCTCCCAAGTGCTGGGATTAAAGGTGTGTGCCACCACTGCCTGGCTAGGTTGATTTTTCTTATTTTGAGAACAGACTAAGCTGGGCAGTGGTGGCAGACAGGTGAATCTCTGTTAGAGACCAGCCTGGTCTACAGAGCTAGTTTCAGGATAGCCATGGCTGTTATACAGAGAAACCCTGTTTCAGAAAATGAGAGAGAGAGAGAGAGAGAGAGAGAGAGAGAGAGAGAGAGAGAGAGAGAGAGAGAGAGAGAGAGCAGACTATGAAGCCAGGCTGCCCTCATACTTGTGATCCTGCCTCAGCCTCCTGAGTCCTGGGGTTATATGTAAGTTACTGTTGTACCCGTTTCTCGAAACCCCCAGAGACCACCAGCCGGTTTCTGATGCAAGCACATAAGGGTCCTTTTATTGTCAGGTTCGAACGTGGGCCACCACCAGGCAGATGGAGGGAAATGTGATGGCAGTGGGGCCAGAAGTAGAGGGTTTTTATAGGGAATTACATGCTTTGGCAACTTGGGATTGGGTAGAAGGGATACAGGGCAAGGTGATTTTTTGAAACTAATGGTCTAGACTTTTGGCGCGAAACCACATTTGAAACTATTGGGTTAGACTTTTGGCGGGGAACCACAACTTGCTCAGCAGAATTATCTGGACTGCTCAGCAGGAATATCTAAGTAGCTTCAAGGGCCATAAACTGCAGAAAGAATATCTATGGGAGCATACTGCCCTATATCGGTTCGAGTTGTTGTGGTACATTCCTGAGGTCCTTTCTGGGACTGAGTACAGCAGGTGGTCTGAGATGATGGCCCTACCCTAAGATGGAATCTTTATTGCCTTCACACTATCAGATTGTGCTTGATATGTTTCATTTTTAATATACAATGACTATTTTAAAATGAATTTGCTGTTGATGCTTTTGAGGAACTGGACCATTTGTCTCTTCCCCACATTCAGCATCATTTTGTATTGACTGTAATGATTGTAATGTTACTGTTAGTTCAAGAGCCTTGATCTACGGGTTTGATGGGGAGGAAGCAAGTGTTTCACAGAGAGGCCTATGACCTTCTCATCTCGTCTTTGTGTGTGCCATTTTGTTGTTTCTTGCTATTAATGGTGATTGGTAGTTTCAAGGATTTGATGGCATGATTGTCCTGTAGGGACTTTCTCATCAGCCCATGGTGGTAAGTGTGTATTGTGATGATTCTCCTCCAGTCATTCCATAAAAATCTTTTCACAAAAGGTCTTGAATACCTCTACAGGATACTGTGGGAATGGGCCAACCCAGGCATCCAAGGCCCATGGTCTGATTATTTTTGATACCTAGATACTCAAAAGATCGTGTCAGCTTACTATTATAGTTATAGCTTATGAGAGTAAGGAATACAGGCTGTGGAAGTTTGAATGTAATTGGCCCCCATAAGATCATAGGGTATGGTACTATTAGGAGGTAGGACTTTGTTGGAGTAAGTATGACTTTGTTGGAGTAGGTATGGCCCTGTTGGAGGAAGTGCATCACTGTGGAGGTGGGCTTTGAGTTCTCATATATGCTCAAGCCAAGCCCAGTGTCTCAATTCACTTCCTATCATCTGAAGGTCAAGATGTAGCTCCTTCTTTACTCTCAGCTCCTTCTCCAGCACCATGTCTGCCTGCACGCTGCCATGTCCCTCCATGATGATAATGGATTAATAGACCTCTGAAACTGTAAGCCACCCAATTAAATGTTTTCCTTTATAAGTGTTGCCATGGTCATGGTGTCTCTTCACAGCAATAGAAACCTGGCTGAAAAAAAAAATCGATTTCCCTGGTCCCGAGTCTTTCATTATGATAGACATCATTGGCAATTGAAGTATTAGGTACTTGGACTATTATATAGAGCTATATATACAGTAAGAAAGTTCAAATAAGCCTCAAAATTGTCTTCTACCCAAGCTAAGAGAGGAAATAAAGAATACCATAGGGGAAGTGCAAGTGATTAGTACCACTCTAGAGCATACAGACTGCATGCAGATTATGGCAGCAAGCTTAACCAAGCACTAAACCCAACTGGAACTATGCTGAGCATGCCGGAACTGCTAAGGCAGAATAGGGCTTCAGGCACATGATTTATGAACAATGATTTGGTGAAAGCATTCTCTCATATTTAAATCAGAAGCAAGGACAGTAAGTTCATAATCTTGTAAAGACAGTATTTCTAGCTTTGTTCAAGGAATATATTAACTCTGTAACCTCTATTACAGTATAGTCTGCAGAGGTCTGGACATCACACTAATACATTGTCCTGCTAATGTAATGATTGAGAAGGATGACAAGAGGTCACTTATATGGCAGAAGCCTTGGTATACCCATGTATTCAGAAGATATAAGATAAACACTAAGAAAATCAAACAATTTAACATGAAAAGCTTATAGAGTTCCAATAATCAATGGTAGGTGGAGACATTCCCTAAAAAGTAAAACACAATTTACTATGCCTCATACATAATAGTGGGATCTGGAAATGACAAAGCCACACAAGAATATTGCTGCTTATTTAAAGCACACCCCAGAGCAACAAAGGGCTTTGTAGCAGTCAGTGTAGATTTTCATATACGTGGGAGATCACAATACATACCTCTCAGGATTTAGAGCAAGGCAATACCATCTCTAGCAGAGGATTTTATTCCTTTCAAAAACCATTCTTGGTGTGGTACCAGACTCTGGCAAAGACAAAAAGAACCTTGACCATGGGGCACCAAGTTATTATATGTATTCATTATGAACTAAGTCATAAGGTAGATGGGCCCAGCAGCAGTTCATGGTAGTATGGAAATGTACCATCAAGCATGAATCACCTGCATGATCGTGTGCCCCAGATCGTGTACCTTTTAACCATGTACTGTGTTTACCAGCACACCTTCCCCAAACTGCCCTGGCTAAGAGAGGCTGTGCTCAGGCTTCAATAAGCTGGCTTGGTATAGAAAAGGGAGCTATGGTCAAGGGTGACCCTAAAGGACAGTAAGAGGGAATATCTTCCAAAAGAGCAAAGCTTTTACCCAAGAACTGTTCGTTCACTTTATGTGGGATGAGAGTAACTCTGCTGTGAAGATTCCTGGCCAATGGCAATGGCCTAGCCAGAGGAACAACATCCCAAAAGAGAGGGCTGGAAGGTCATAGACAATTAAGTGAGGAAAACAGGTATAGGAATGGAGATAGGAGAGAAAATACAGAGGTGAAGTTTTTTTAATTATATTATAGTCAAATATAATGGGTTCACATATTGTTGAGCGCAAGCCAAAATCAGCAGTCAGTATATAAAAGGAGTGGAGAAAGATTACTTGTGATAGACAAGAGGGAGCACAGGTGTTCTTTCCAAATAAAACACTTCCAACAAAGACAGCATGGGAATTTTATTCAGAGAGCCTATACATATTCATGTAAGGGGTGGTCCAGTACTAAGCATGCTCAGTTAAGGAGTACATTTCTGGAGGAAAATTAAATCCTTCATGATTTAAACATTTAAACATTTAAACATTGACATTGACTTTTGCATCAACTTGTCTTAGCAATACCCTTTGCTGCCCATCTAGCCTAGCCATTACCCATCCAAAATGTCAAAGTTTCAACCAACAACCCCTCTCAATGGTACACTAACATTCCAAATGATGTGGAATTGCATGGAATTTTGAACTATGGCACCCAACCTGTCGAGTTTGGAATAGAGAAATATACTCGATGGGTGTCCCGGAACGGAACGAAACTTTGCTCGAAAATCATCCATGCCATAGAGGTGGGGATAGATCTACACTTGCTGGATAGTTGTCTTATGACACTATGTATCCGACACACTTCTGAGGGAAAGCAGAAGGCATTCGAGACAAGTGCAGCCCACTGATACTTGGAGGCTCATGGGCTAATGCTGAAGGTGTTGGATAATAAAAATAGTAATCTCAGTGAGTTCTTTGCATTAACAGGCCCCAGCCGAGGGACAAGGTAAGCTTTAGTAGCACTGATGAATAATCTTGGAGAGCTTTGATGAGTTGGGCAATATCTTTCCTTTTGCAGTCTTTGCCTTCCCAAACTTGTGGTCAGGGACAGGGCCTGCCTTGAGAAAGTACAGAGGCAAATTGTGATCCATGCAGAGCAAGGGGTCACACAATACCCACAGAGCTGGCAGACTCCAGGATGTATGATAACTGTTTTTGGGATCGTGAGAGTGAGTTTTACATTTACATTTCTATTTATTCATCAAGGGATCAGTTTAGAGGCTGGGCACGATGCCGATGACATTATTATAACAAACACTGTTTCTCAGGCAAGATTCTCTGGGCTCTTGATTGTTAAAAATGTTTTAGACCATATCCTCGGTAAGGAAGAGGATCACATCTTACTTCACCCTCTAGTTCAGACTGTAAAAGTGTGAGATGAGGTTGAGAGCTTTAGGCTTGCTCTGAAAGGTTTGGCTCGCCACCACGAATATGCACCATTTGCTCAGAGAATGAACTTGTCAGGGGTAAATAACTTAGAAGGATTATTTCTGCAGTTGTCTGCAATTGCCCTGGGAGTAGCAACAGCACCTGGTGGAACCTTGGCAGGCATCCCAGTGGGTGAGCAGTACCATCAACTACTACAAGTAGCTAGTGGAGCTGATGTAGGTTGCAAGAGCACGTTGAGGAGCAAGAAATCTATCAATTAGGTTTAGACCACGCTGAAGCCCAGATTTTGCTTGATTTTCACAAGAAGAAACATGAGACTGGAAACCAACAAGCTGAAATCATTCTCGCCACAAAACGTGAGAAGCTTCAGCAATTAGCCTCAGCTATAAGCAACAATAATCAAAGGGTCATGTTGAGCCCAGGGAGTCTTGCAGCCTCAGAACCCCTTCAAGCCCCTCGGGTTGCTCCGACCACCGTTCAGCCTCAAAGGAGCACAGGGATTACAGAGTGAGATTTTGAGGATGTCGAGGGTCAAGAGATGGATGACAATGATCAAAGTGAGTTGTCAGATCAGGACGAGACGCCCATGCCACGTTCCTTCTTTCAGATTTTGGATGCCGGATCTGAAAGTGATGAAGATAAAGGGCACTTGCCCCAGGAAAGATCTAAACCCAAGTTCTCACCCAAGATCTTACAGACTCAGCAACTCAGCCAGGAGTCAGCCCAGACCGGGCGTACTTCGGAACCACCTTGCTCCCCACTAAAGTACAACTATGGGAGACTTCCTCGACAGACAGTCGAATCCCGATCAGCCCCCAGCTCTCCAGGGTCACCGGCGGAGCCCAAGAACAACATTCCCCTACAGCTCACAGCCATGAACCCTTGACCACACATACTAGAGTCCCATACTCAAGACCAGTAATCGCCCATGCCGAGACTCCTCCTCCTCCGATTTATCCAACGCGAAGCAGTTCCGGTGCCAGTGCCGCTATCCCTCCCCTTTCTTCCTCCAATCCTTTCGATTCCATGGGTGCTTCCTCCAAGAGAGCCTCGACACGCCCTCCTCTCGATTTGGACCTTAAACACTGGATGTGACAGAGGCTGAAGACTGAAGTTGGGTCAAGACAAAAGGGATTCGGGCAGGGTTGTTATTTTGTTATAATACAACAGGGCGTGCCTGCAACTTTACCACTCACACGATTCCAAATTTATTGCCATTTTCAGGAGCCTAATTGCTTGATCTTACATGAGGCCAAGGCTAGGATACCCAGCAACAGTTTACATGCCTCCTGTGCTGACGGCAACCTTCTCAGTCAGTCCTCCAGCAAAACTCAGGAGGCCTGTTTAATTTTCAGGCACTTTCCCTTCTTTTTATAAACATCATCTCCTTGCTGGCCAAATTTTCTTACATAGCAATATTATTTTTGTATTATTAAGAAAAAAAAAGGAGTACATTCCCGAGTAAGCTCAGTTAAAGGTCATAATTTCAAAAGAAGATATAATAGACACATTCTGGAGCATGCTGAGCTCAAACTAATCAACTGACATGCCTCAAGGAATGCTCTGCTTACACCAAAACTTTTAGCTGCAAGTAAGGAAAGGATACCCCAAAAATGCATTAACATAAAGGGGCCTGTCTTGCTTAGTGGCTAATGACATGCTCATTCTGACTAGAACATCCATCGTGAAAGAGGAACAGAAGAAAATCAAACAGAGGATTCTATCAGTTGGTGTTAAGCAAGCTTTTGTCATGGCCTACTCTAGAACTGTCACTATAATGATATGTATGCAGTCATGTGAGCTACACACGAGCCACAACATAAATTCCCAGTTACAAAAGCCAACGCATCCCTTCATCTGTTTCTGAAGAACGTACTAGTAACAGGACCTCCATTGTGTGCCCAATATGGCATTATTAGTTGACAAAACGGGAAACCTGCTAGCAGGTCAATAACATGGACTCTTCCCATTGGGGAGTGGCTAGCGGTCCATTTTGACAGGGATAAACTAATTCTGGGTGTGGATTTGCTGTCTTGCCTTGCAGGGCCTTAGCCTCTACAATTAACACCTAGGGCCTTAAAGGAGGCCTGATCCACAGGCATGGGCTCCCATTCAATGGCGCATCCAAACAGGGGACACACTTCCCAGGAAAAAGATAATATGCGAACTCCTGACTGGGGGATCAGTAGGGTCATCCAGCCTGATAGAACACCAGGCAACCTACTGAAGGTGTTAGGGATGAGGAGAGACGTCTCCTCCCACACTCTCTCCAATTTCAAGTGCAGCAGCAGGCTCAGTTCTTGTGCTCAAGGGAAGAGGCTCACATGGGGGCCCAGGCGGAGCTAACAAGTGGTCAAGGCTACTTCAGCAGGTGAGAAGGCACAGAGCGGAGGGCGGGCTGAGCTGTGTGGCAGTGCCATCTGGCCTTCGTCTGCCAGCTTTCCTTCCCTTGTCTATTCCTGGGTAGTCTGGGAAGGTCTCCTTCCTTCCTCAAATAGGTGGAAGCTTTCTTAGAAGCCATTACCCACAATTCAGTCTGTTACAATTAGATGCACGACTATCTGTGAAGGTGTAACTCCCTGTAAGTTTTGGCTGTTTGCTAAGGAAAGGGCAACGATGTCTTGCACATGTTCCTGCAAGGGTGGAGGGTGGGGCTTCTGGGGCCAGCTGAAACATCTAGAGACAGGTTTTGCTTTTCCCAAAGTTCTCTTATCTGGTCAGCTTGGCTATTTCATACCCAGCTACAAGCCCTCTTATTTACCTTCCTCAGTGTTCCTGACCTTGCATTTAACACTAAAATTCATCTTAATCCTAACATTTGTTTTCAATGCAATAATGGTTTAGCTGAAGTGCCAGTTCAAAAGCAGGATTCCATAAGGATTAAGTGCCATCCTTCCAGAACAGTACATTCACTAACTCGGAGACCTCTAAAGGCATTGCCCCTACTAAGAAGAACAACACATAGTTCCAAGAACCAAGCAGAGGAATCAGAAGTGACCCCACTGAACATCGGTTCTACTGACTTGTTAGAGGACACTATTTCCTGTTCCCACAACTCTACACTTTGGAGGTATGAAGGTCCTGGCTTCCAAATGGGATGCACTTCTGCCAGGGACAACAAGAGTCCCATTAGACTCTTAAGTTATGGCTACTGTTTGGGCATTTGGAACTCTGGGTCCAGCTTTGAGCGGTCAAGGATTTCCCATCTTGGCAGTGGTAACTGAGCTAGATCAATAGGAAATCAAAAGGCTTCTAGGCAGAGAAAAACACATGGGTGATTAACTTTGGAATATTTTGATTCCAAATTGTGCCTGGGAGTACATGTTCATAAACTATAGAGTGAGATGTAAATGATCACCAATATAGACTTTTCATCAGGAAGGAGGATCTGGGTCCTACATGGTAAGCCCTTAGGCTTACTAGAGAAACAACCGGAGGAAAATAGAATCTGACAGACAGTGGAGTAGAATGATGGGCAGCGCTTGCAGCTGGAAGCTCCCTGAGTGACAGGAACTGTAGTTTGCCTTAAGAAAATGCGTTCTCAAGAGGATAGGCCCATGGGGATCATGGAGGAGCCGCTTCTGAAAAAGACAGTGGTTTAAGGGAGCCCCTGCTCGGATGACAAAAAGGAAGAATAGGACTGAAAAAAACCATGAAGAAGACAAGAAATACAGCTACAAAAGCTTGTGAGGTAACAAAGGTCAGGAAATGATACTTCTGAAGAAGATAAAGTAGATGACGAAGATGAAAGATCCAACTAAGAGCTCTGGATAAACTGTTTCCAGCAGGGTGTTAGAGGACTCAGCCTACAGTGCTCTCTGATGACAACAGGCCAGGACTGAGAGGGCAGAGACGGGCAGATCCCTGAACTCCCTGGCCAGCCAGCCTATCGGAACTGATGAATTACAGGGTCAGGGAGAGGCTTTGTTCTAAAACATGAGCTGGAAAACTGATGAATGACAATGTCCAAAGTCAATTGCTGTCCTCTACACCCATGTGCACATATGTGCAGATATGCACACATGAGCAGGCACACATACCACACACAGAACTATCTCTAGTAGAAACTAATAATGGCATGGTTCGTGTGCAAAGATCAAGACACACAATACAAATACCAAAACTGCCAGCGAAGCTGGCATTGCTGAGAAGCAGCTGCTCTGCAACGCTACGCTAAGAAAACATTTCTTAATGGTAATGTAGAATTTCCTAACAGAAAAATATGAAAAACTCTCTGCAACAAAACAAAACAAAAAACCCAACCAACCAACTAGCTCCCCCCCAACCCCCACACACCCTCAGCAAAAAGTTCAAGACTATCCACTAAAAATATGGCTAGCTGTGATGGTAACACTGTGGACATGAATCACACTGACAATGAAGTGTGACCCCCAAAGCCTGCACAGGAAACCTTAGGGTGGGTTTATGGCAAGGTTACTCATACTGGAGGCTGAGATACTTCTCTAAGTTCTAATGTATCTCTCCTGCTAATCAGAGCAAAACTTAAAGGATGTGGTGAAATTTCCCCCAACGTTTCCAAGTGCCTTCTGAGGTCAAAAGAAGAAAAATCTTGTAACTCAATCAGAAATTCGAACACTGGTGCAGGGTGGAAAGTCCCCTCGTCTTGTTTGCCAGGCTGGAACTGAACTCCTGAATTTTAATCTCCCCAAATTGCTTATTCTGTATGCAGCATCCTGGTTGAGAGGAAAAAAAGAGAAAAGAGAAAAACATCAAAACAGTCACCTTGGCATATACAAATTATTTCTGCCTTGTGTGTGTGTGTGTGTGTGTGTGTGTGTGTGTGTGAGAGAGAGAGAGAGAGAGAGAGAGAGAGAGAGAGAGAGAGAGAGAGAGAGAGAGAGAGCGAGCAAATAATTAGCCAACAGTCTTCCAAGTGGTCTATCTTGGGGATTCACCACAGCCTTTAAGCTACAAGCTATAAACTTCCTGGATTGCTCCCCACCAATGGCTGAGCATAGTACTGTCTGTTCAAAACTGGGACCTCTTAAGTTATATTCCTGCACTTTGGACTCTCCTTATTGACATGGCCAAGGCTTTCTTGGAGCTTTATTGTAGGATCTACATCAGTCTGAAGGCTCTCCTGCTTGACTTCTTTCTCCCTTGTATTTTAAACCCCATTTCCTTTAACCAATACTGTGCATGCCTAATTCTATCTTGCTACTTCTCTCAGAACTCAGACTCAGTTCTGTACTACAGGATGTCTGGTATTCCTGGAATCTCCTAAAATGCTATAGCATCAGTCCCCAATCTTGATGAAACACCTAATTTATAAAACACTTTTTTTTTTCCAGGTGGAAGGTTTATTACTAAAGGGAACAAGGCAGGGGTGGGGGGGGGAGAAGAAGGTGAGCACTACCTTTGGCAAAAGGGAGGAAAGAGAGAGAGTGAAGAGGGAGTTTTTTCTTTTTTCTTTCTTTCTTTCTTTTTTTTTTTTTTTTTTTGGTTTTTCGAGACAGGGTTTCTCTGTGTAGCTTTGCGTCTCTCCTGGAACTCACTTGGTAGCCCAGGCTGGCCTCGAACTCACAGAGATCTGCCTGCCTCTGCCTCCCGAGTGCTGGGATTAAAGGCGTGTGCCACCACCGCCCGGCTTCTTTTTTTTTTTTTTTTAATGCCGAATGCTGTTTATTGAAGGAGGGAAGAGGTCTTAAATACAGGCTTACAGCACAATGGGAGAACCCCAGAGGGCAGAAGTTCGCTACCGATGTTTTACAATCTTGTATCTAAGCTATTAACGCCCATTATGCAGGATACACAGACAAGGAACTTCCCTTAAGCATTCAGGAGGGTGGAACCCGGCAGGGAATTAGCATTGGGAGGATATCAAGGTCAAGGTCAGCAAGCAAGGCAACAGTTACCCAAAACGGGGGCCAGGGACCTACAGGTCCCCCTTTTACTAAAAAATGAGCTTCTGACTTAGGTTGCGTGGGCAGTCAGCAGGTCACCTTACCCGTCATGGAGACGTCTGCCCAGGCCACACAGGCGCTCTGTCTTAGGTTGGTGAGCGTCCCCCAGGCATTACCCGTCTCTGAATACTCATTATCATACAGGCTCAATCGTGTGTGAGTTGCAGAGTTAACTACTGCCAAAGATCTCAAAGTGGCACTGGGCTTGCAATCTGTGTGTTCGACACAGAAAAGACCAACAGAGGTCCTATCCCACCCATAGCCAGTAGGCTAAAGGCAACTGAGCCATTCCCTTCCTTAACGAGCCTTACTGCAAATTGGAGTCCTTGTAAGATGGTATCCAAAAACAAATGGAACTTGAAAAACACTTCTTTTGAGAACAACTCAGAGTGTGATTATTAAGATTGTGAAATTTTAGAGTTGGAAGAAATCTTATAGATTAAAAAAAAACGAGAGAAGCTTGATCACATCCTTGTTCTTTATTCTCTCAGTTCTTTTTTCTATTCTAGTTCTAGTTTCTTCTAGCCTAATTCTTGATCCTCAATTGAAATGAACAACTTTATATAATAGGTTGTAAGTATCAAAGAGGCTGTACAGCTTCAGAATTTAGAGAAAAAAGTCAGAAAGCAATCGTCTTCATGGTAAAGTAGGAAAAATCAGTATATAGTGGATGGAGACATTTATATAAATAACCTACCCTTTGAACTCTGCATAATGTTTTGTGGTTACGGTGCTTTCCAAGTTTAGTCTCAGGAAGATGCTCTATGAAAATGGAGGTGCTGTAAAATAACCAATAGTAGATAGCATCATCTACAAAAGAGCAAAGAACTTTAGTTTACAGTTGTTTGATAGGTATATAAAAGTGATTTTTTAAATCATGGTAAACACAACTTTATCTACTCTTTCAAAGAACTCATTATTTGGAGTATGTCTCTTCATGGAGGACATTACTCTCCAAGGGACAAAAATTTGGTTTGGGACAAGCCCTTTAGATATTACCACAATTTTTGTTCCTCCTCGGAGTCACAGTACAGAAACAGATATTCAGTCTATTTTTGTTTTAGGTTTTCATGGTCACATGGTGTGTAAAATAGGGGTGTGTGTCAGGGGTAAAAATGCCTCTGAGCATTAATTATGAAAACAGAGAAATCTGGTCTAGAGGAGAAAAAGGGAAAAAGGAGAGAAGATGAATGAGAACCTGAGGGAAAGCATAATTATTAAAGAGAATGAGGGAAAGAGGAGCTAATAGATGAAGGGAAAATGTGTGTAGACTTTAAGACAAACATCCTCTCATTTTCCACTGAGCTATAGAAAACAGAACTTTTCCCCCTTGACATTCCACAATACACACTACTCCTCATAGATTATTTCTGTCCCTGGCAACAAATTATTAAATGTGAAAAGTAATATTGTGATGCCTGCTCTCTGTTGAAAGAATTCTTATATCCCACACCATTCTGTGTTTTGCTCAACTACTCCAAATGTCCTTACTTTTTCTTATTTAAAATTTAAACGTAAAAGATTTCCTTATTAGGTTTCTCAAGTCCCATTATTTCATGAATTAGTAATATGAACTTTGATTGATAATACAAAAGCCTTTAGTTTTATAGCATTTACCCCCATTGATCTGCCATAGTAGACTAGCTTATTTATTATTGTTTGGGCACTTTTTTTTCCTGCAATTTGAATGTATTCCTCAATATTTAGTGTTATCCATCTGGGATTGGTTCCCAGATGCTTTATGGATAAGAAAACTTACAGATGCTCAAGCACTTTCTATAAGTTGTATTTGTCTATAACATATGTATATTCTCCTATATCCTTTAAAATTAGGCCATATGTGTGTGTGTGTGTGTGTGTGTGTGTGTGTGTGTGTGTGTGTGTGTGTGTATATATACATATACATACACATATGTATATAATCTTTGGCTTTTTGAGACAGGGTTTCTCTGCATAGCCCTGGCTGTTCTGGAACTTGCTCTGTAGGCCATGCTGGCCTTGAACTCAGAGATCTGTCTGCCTCTGCCTCCCAAGTGCTAGTATTAAAGGTGTGCACCACCACCCCCTGGCTCTAAACATATACTACTTATTGTTATAGTTTGGATCTTTCATTTGGGAAACAGTGGCTTCCCAGTGTGGTACCATGAGGAGATAGTAGAGCCTTTCCAGGGTGGGGTCTACTGGGAGGTCTTTATTATGGGGAGCGTGTCCTGAAGGGGACAGCGGAACTCCAGCCACCACTTCTTATGTCTCTCACTTCTCACCCATGAACTTGAGCAGTTCTGTTCAACTATGTCAGTGCTTCTAACCTTCCTAATGCCTCACGACCCCTTACTACAGCTCCTCATGTTGTGGCGACCCCCAACCAAAAATTATTTCCGTTGTTACTTCATAACTGTCATTTTGTTACTGTTATCAATCATAATGCAAATATCTGTGTTTTCCAAAGGTCTTAGGTGACCCCCATGAAAGGGTTGTTTGAATTCCAAAAGGGTCGCAACCTACAGTGCTGTGGATGATCAATGGATAAATAAAGCTGATTGGCCAGTAGCCAAATAGAAAGTATAGGCAGGACAAGGAGAGAGGAGAATTCTGGAAAGCAGAAGGCTGAGGCAGAGAGATGCTGCCAGCCACCATGATGAGAAGCAGATGTTAAGATACCGGTAAGCCACGAGTTCCGTGGCAACTTATAGATTAATAGAAATGAGTTAATTTAAGATATAAGAACAGTTAGCAAGAAGCCTGCCACGGGCATACAGTTTATAAGTAATATAAGTCTCTGTGTGTTTACTTGGTTGGGTCTGAGTGGCTGCAGAACTGGTGGGTGAGAGAGATTTGTCCTGACCGTGGGCCAGGGAGGACTGGAGAAAACTCCAGCTACACTACAGGTTGAGAACCAATGAATGATGAGTTCCTTGCCATGGTGTGTTGCCTCACTAGCAGCCCTAAAACAGCAGGCCAAGTGATTATACACAACAATCCCCCAAACTGGAAGCCACAATAAACTCTTTTCTAAATTGATCACCTCAAGTTTTTGTTATAAGCTGACACATATATAATGCCTACTACAATATAAATACTAAGTAATTAAGGAATGACAAACATTTTGGATGTATTCAGTACAGTTCATAATTTTTTCCAGTTTTTAGATTCAAGGTTGTAGCTCTGGACATCCTGGAACTTGCTCTGTAGAGTAGGCTGGCCTCATACTCAGGGCCTTTAACTCAGCCTGTCTCTGTCTCCTATGCCTGGGATTAAAGACATGTTCCACCATACCTGGCCATGATTATTTTTTAGTATCAAAAGATCAGTGGTTGGTATGACTGTGTTTATCATGTTTACCCCGTGTAGTGGCATTTTTTTAATGAAAAGGTATATAAATAGGTTCAATTTAAGTTAAGTTAGTGCATATAAATGGGTTTCATTACAGCATTTTCATATATTTGTCTGTGCCATTATACTTCATTTATACCTACCTCTCTCTGTCTGTCCATTCTCCTACTCCCCTTTTAAAATTCAAAAGTGTGTGTGTGTGTGTGTGTGTGTGTGTGTGTGTGTGTGTGTGTGTGTGTGTGTAAGTGTAAGAACATGGTGTGCATGCATGGCACACATGCAAAGGTCAGAGGCCAACTGTGGAGTCTGTCCTCTCCTTCCACTTTCAAGTGGGTGCTCGGGATCAGACCCAGGGCTCCTGTGGCAAGTGCTATTACTGGTGAAGCCATCTTGCCTGCCTTCTACTTCCCTCTTGCTGCTCCCCTTCATCTCTTCAAAGAGACACAATCTTTTCAGATGGATATTTTCCATCTCACAGAATCCATGGACATCAACCTATTGGTCCTGAGGGCTGATTTGTGCTTCACTTTCCTCTGAGAGTGGGGACACTAAGCATTTTCCTAACGACTGGTCAAATTACTCGGGTATCTTGATATCAGGAAGGGAGTAGCCTTCTTAGCAGTCATTAGTATTTCAGCAAATTGAAAGGAATAATTTCTATTAATACTCTTAAATATATAAGCTATTGTGGCATAGTTAGTATAGAATAAAATGTACTTATCTTAGATATTCAGTTTGTGAGTTTTGACAAGTGTATTATAACTATCACCTGAGACAAAATATCGAACTGCTTAATCATTAAGATCCTTTAGACTCTTTTCCTACCATGTTTCCGTGTCTTAAAGTCACCTTGAAATTTATAAAACTTCTCTTTTTCTTGGATTCCATATGAATAGAACCAAATATTTGTGAGATTTATCCATCTTATTGGGTGTATAGACAAGTATGTTCCTTTTATTGCTGACTTGTAGTCTAGTGTGTGACTGTATAATTTTCATATTTTAACTGTGTTCCTGTGATAGTTAAGTGATTACTTTTTGTTATTGTGAATAAGGCTGTCCTAAACATGTAGTTTTATTGTGAACTTGAATTTCAGTTTAGTCAAGTAATTGAGATTAATGGCTCATGCATAGGCTAGATTGATGTTTAAAGAAACTGTGAAACAGTTTTCTAATGTATGTTTCACTAACACCAGCTATGTGTGAGTTCCAGCTGCTGTATATCTTCACTGACATTTGGGTTATTCAAGACTGACTTTAGCTTCTCAGTATGTGAAATGGAATCTACTATACTTTAAATCTGCATTTCTTGTGATTAAAGATTATTGAACATTCTTCTTTGTTTTGTCAAGATACTCATAAAATTTATCTCTTAATCATTTAAAATTTTAGGTTATTTACTCATTTTTCATTTTTTGAGACAGGGTCCCATATAGTCCAGGTTGTTTTCAAAATTTCTACATAGCATAGGATGATTCTGAACTCCTGATCTTCCTGCTCCCACCTCTTCTGTTCTGACTCCAGGAGTGTTTCACTGTGCTTGGCCCCTTAATCATTTTAAAATTTATGATTCAGAAGTGTGGAATGTATTTATAATGTTGCACTATAACCCATCTCCAAAACTTTTTTTCCATCCTGAACAACTTATACTTTGTACTCATTAATCAGTAACTTCTGCTTTCTACCTTCCCCAGAGTTGGCAACTATTATTCTGTGATTTAACTAAGTAACTCTTAAGTGGAAACATTCTATCCTTCTGACTGGTTATAGTCTATTGTATGAATAGCTACCATCTTCGGTCCACCCATGTTGTAGCATAGGTCAGAATGTCCTTTATAACAGTAAACAGTATTTTATTGTATGAATATACCATGTTTCACTTACTCATCCATGAACAAACATTGTGATTGTTTCCATGTTTTAGCTGTTTTGAATAGTTTTGCTACAAACATGGCTCTTTGAGATTCTGCTTTCAACTGTTTTGGGTATACACTACAAGTGGAATACTAGATTATTTCATAATTCCATTTTAAAATTTTGAGGAACTGTCACCCTGTTTTCCAGAGTGCTCTTACAACCCCACCAACAATTCACAAGAGTTTCAATTTCTCCACATCCTCACCAATATTTGTTATGTCCTGGTTGTTTATTAGGTGCCAATAGTAGTCATTCTAATGAGTGTGCAACGGCAATTCATTTTGATCTACACTTGATTCATGGTACTGAGCATCTTTTCATGTGCTTATTGGCCACCACCGGGGGAATGCCTATTGGAGTGTTTTATGTCCCTCTTGCCCCTTTTCTCAGAATGGGTCTCACTATGCAGCCCAGGCTGGCCTCAAGCTCACATTCCTGCCTCCACCATTACCACTTGCAGCTTTTTTGTTTTGTTTTGTGCTGGGACTACAGGGGCACACCTGTTTATGGTGTCCTGGGGATCCAACCCAGGGCTTTGTGCGTGCTAGGCAAAACTCCATCAATTAGGCTTCACCCCTAGTTCCAACACTCAGTTTTTATGTTTATTTTCCAATTTTTCAAGTCTTTGTGTATGTGTGTATGCCTATGTGTGCTCAGGTACCTGAGGCGGCTACCAGAGGGCATAGGATTCTCTGGAGGTGGAATTACAGGCAGTTGTTAGCTGTCTGATGTGGATGGCGGGAACTGAACACTGGTCCTCTACAAGAGCACTGAGCCATTTTTTTCAGCCTTCCAGCCTTTTAACTGCATTGTTTTTGAGTTTTAGTGCTCTACATATCTGGGTATCTTATCAGATACATGATTTACAAATATTTTTCTCCTAACCTATGAATCAATTTTTAACCATTGATAGTGTCTTTTATGCACGTGTATATGAGTGTGCAGGTACGCATGTATGTATGCATGTGTGTGTAGGCCAGAAGACAACCTTGGGTGTTTGTGTGCCAGTATGATACTGTTTTTGTTCCTATGACTCTGTAATATGATTTGAAATCAGATACTGTTTTTTTTCTCTAGCATTTCTCCCTTCAGGATTGCTTTGACTATCTGGGGTCTTTCATATGACCATGAAGTTTTGGATTTTTTTCCTTCCCTATATCTGCAAAGAATGTGTTTGCATTCTTTGATTTCATTGAACCTGTAGACTACTTTCCTAATATTAGTTCTGATGACCCATAAAATAGGTTTTTACTTTGTCCTTTAGGGTTTTCAACTTGTCCACTATTTGAAAGTTTTATTTTAGAAGTTCTTACCTCCTTGGTTAAGTTTATGACTAGGCTGTTTTGTTTTTGATGTAACTCTCTCTTACTTTTCTTATTCTCTGTAGCACAAAAGGTTTGGATTTTGATGAGGTGACTTTTTTCTTTCATGGTTTGCACTTTTGTGTCACATCCAAGAAAATGCTATCTGATTCAAGATCATGAAGATTTCTGGTTATGTGTTTTTCCCTAAGCATTTTATAGTTTTAGATATTACATCTCAGTCCTTGGTTCATCTGAAAACACTTGTAACTGGAGTGAGGTAGATTCCCAACTTCCTTCCATATGTGGCTGTCTAGTTTTCCCAGTCCATTTATCCTTTTTCCTATTGAATTATCACCACTTTTACAGAAAACCAACTCACAAATATACATTTCTGAACTCAATTATGTCCCACTTATGTATACAATTTAGGTTTATGACAGTACTCTCTTTTGTGTGTGTGCATGTGGTACATGCATGTTTGTGCATGTATGCCTGCCTGTGCCTATGTGTGGAAAATAGAGGTCTATGTTAGGTGTCTTCCTCTATCAATTTCCATCTTGTTTTTTAAGGGGGTCTCTTACTAAAGCTGGGGGTTGCTGTTTAGCTAGACTAGCTGGTCAGTGAGCCCTTGGGTTACAGATGTGTGCTGCTGTGCCTTGTTTTTACGTGGATGTTAGGGATCTGAATTGAGGCCTTCATGGCTGTGCAACAGAAGCATTTTACCCATAGATCCATCTCCCCAGAACTGTCTTCTTATAGCTTTGTAACAAGTGCTGAAACCAAGAGCTGAGTTTCTAATCTATAGACACTTTCTTTTTGCTTAATTGCATTGATTAAGGTCTCCTGGGTCCTTCACAAGTGCGAAGACTTATTTTTTCTTTTCTTTCTTTTTGAGATAGGATCTTGCTATGGTCTTGAACTCACAGGCTGAAGGTACATCACTGTACCTTGTTTTCCTAAGTAGCTGATACCACAGGTGTGCACCACCTCACTTGATATAGAAACTTTTGTGTTAATGCTATGCATGATTTTAGTGGAAGCAGATTTTCTATTTCCCCATTAAGTTTTCAAAATATGATAACCAATCTACTCGAGGAAGTTCCCTTCTGTTCTCAGCTTGCTGAGACTTTCTAATGTTAATGAGTTTTGATTTTTGTAAAAGATTTTTTTTCTGTGTCTATTGGGACTATGGCTTTGTTTTATTCCTGTTCCATTAATGTTATAAATCCCTGCCCCATATTAAATTTCATCCTCTTTGGTCATGGTATCTAATTTTCTATATTGTAAATTTTAATTTGATAATATTTTGAGAATTAAAAAGTCTGTTTATGGAGGATATTGGTATGTGATTATAAATGTTCTTGACAAATTTTGGTACTAAGATTATGCTGAACTCATGAAACTGGAGAGTATTTCTCACTGTTTCGTTTTCTGAAACAGGATAGGATTGGAACTCTTCCTAAAATGTTTGATGAAATTCACTAGTACAGCTACATGGGCCTGGAGTTCCTTTTGTCAGAAGGTTTTTGATTATAAATTGTTCTAGACTGAGTTACTTAAATGTTTTATTTCTTTTGTGTCAGCTCCTGTCTTGCCTCCTCCCCTTCCTTCCCTTGGGTCGCACACAGGCTAGCAAGTGTTCTGTCACCGAGCTCTATCCGCAGCCTCATGGCAGCTTGGGAAATCTATTACTAGCATAAGTAACCCAGGTATCTCTCTAAAAGCTACATAATTCTATTAGTACTGGGACTATAATAGTGTGCAAATTTACAAATACAAAAGCAAATGACAGATAAGAAAATGTGTAATATATAGCAGAAAGATGTATGCATGTTCAGAAGGAGCAAAAAGAATCCAGTGGTAGAGGGAATTCCAGGATAGTGTGATAAATACTATGAGGGGCACAGAGAACACAGCAGGGGGGTGTTAGTCCAGGAAGAAAAGTAAGAATCAAGACACGCAAGTGGTATGTTTTCTTGCAGATCTACAGGTAAGTTAATCAAATCTACGGGAAACGAACACCTAGCAAACAAAACCATCCTAGACCCAGGTCCCAAGGTCACATAATTGTGAGGGCCTGCAGTCAACTGGTTCTCCTTTCCCTGGTACATCTTTAATTAAAAATAAAACATGACTTCACTTTCATAAAACAATACATGTATGAATTAAAAATCCCAAACAGGGTTAAAACATCCAAAAGATAGAAATCACTCTCACATTCTTTTAGATTTTTGTACTCATATATATCAACATACATGTATTCATATTCTGTACATTGTGATCTGTATTTTGATTTTATGCTTGGGCAAATACAACCCAGATTCTATGGGCATCTGTAATGGAATGTTTTACTGGGTCAAGAGTATTCTATTGCATGCACAAACCTCTCAATTTTTATTATTTAGGTGTTGAAATTTATACTTGATTTTCTAAGAGCTGTATGTTGGGATTATTTTTCGTCTTGCAAATGATACAAATGTACTTTTCTATGGCTATTTTCAATTTTATGGGTCTATTATAGTGTTTGTTATTTCTTGTAGTTTACTTCAGGGTTATCAATATATCCACCTTTGATTTTCTACTTAAAAATATTTTTAGTTATGTGTGACTCCATGTGGGTACATGCACATGAGTGCAGGTGCTCACAGAGGCCAAAGGTGTCAGATTCTCCTGGAGCTGTAGTTACAGGCAGATGTGAGAAGCAGGACCTGGGTTCTGGGAACCGTTGGAAAAGCGGGAAGCGCTCTAAACCACTGAGCTATCTCTGCACCATAGATTTTCTCCTATTTTTAATGGTTTCATCTTTTTCTTTAAGTATTTACTCTGGTGTGAGAGCTCAAGCTTTTCTTCAAATGCTAATCATTTCTCCTGTTATCTTTCCCTCACTTACCAGTGATTCTTTAATGGATGCTTTCACTGGTTACTACTGTTGACTTCAGGATCTGGGAAAACCGTAAAACATAACTGAATCCTCAGAACTCGGGGTTAAGATACTCTATAAACATGCTGCAGCACTTGATGTAGCAGTGTTCGGTAAATTGCTACGGTCAATGTCACACAACACACACACACACACACACACACACACACACAGGATGTCTGGTTTCTCTGTTCTGATCGTGAATGTGTCTCCCACGTTATCTCCTTGATATAACCCACCCCTAACAGTCTACTTCGGATGCCCCTCCATTTCAACAAAAAATGCGACCGTTCAGTTACCATTCTACTTGAGAGGCCGGCTATGAGCAAACATAAGCTATGCTTCCCGATGCCCTCTCGACGCAGGACGCCTGCTTCTCCCACGGCCTACCCTGAAACGCTGAAAGCCTAGCTAGCTCGTCTCAGCCTTTCCGTTGCTAATATTGCCAAAGCTGGCACCGCGTGTCAACTTTAGCTTACAGCCCGAAAGGCCAGGGGCTCACGCTGTGACTCCCTCCGAGGAGGCGAGCCTCCAGGATGAAACGGGGACAGGAGATCCTGACCTGACTGTCCTGGTGGCGAGCTGGGGGCGACTCTGCAGAAAAGGAAAACGTGAACCAGAGTGGCACTAGAGAGTCCCTCAACCCACCGGTGAGACCGGCTCCAGGACACGAGTGTCCGGGGCGCGACCTGCCGTCGCCCCGGGCTCGCGGGCTTTTTGGACGCGGCTCACAGGGACGTCCCAGAGCAGCGTTGCCACTTTGCCCACCTTAGCAGCAGCAGCAGTCGCAGCAGCAGCCGCAGCCGCAGCCGCAGCCTCTGCGGCCCTGGCAACCGTCGCCGGCGTCCCTGCCCCAACGGCTCCGGCCGGGGCGGCGCGCGGCGCTGATGACGTAGCGCGGGGGGCGGGACTTCCTGCCCGCGCGCCGCAGCGCCAGCTCCGGACGCGCTCGGCTCGGCGGCGCCGAGTGGCGGGGCTGCGGGGCCGAGGAGGCCGGGCCGCGGAGGAGGAGCCGGGCTTGCCGCCGTCGCCGCCGCCGCCCTCTCGGCCCTCCGAGTTTCCCGGGCTACCTCCTCCGCTCTCCCCAGGCTTGGGCGCCCTCGCCGACCGCCCGGCCCGGCTCGCCGGCTCCTCTGCAGCCCGCGCGCGGCGCGAAACCGCGCCAGGCGTGGCCGGCTGGGCAGACCCCCCAGCGGTGGCACCGGACCCCTCGGCCCCAATGCCTGGGCGAGCAGAACGGAGTGGGTGGCGGTGGTCGGAGCTGTGCCGGGGTCCTCCCGGGGGGCGAGCGCGGCCGTGTTCCTTTGGGCAAGCTGCAAGGACGGTGTATGAGTTTGGTAAGTGACTTCTCTCTTTTTGTGGGGGGGCATGCTGGGCGTGCAGGTTGGAACCCTGCAGCCCTCCTCCTCCATTTCCCGCCCTTGAACCCCGGTTTGGCTTCCTGGTAAAGTAGTGGAAGCGCGCGTGTTGGGAAGGCAGGCCAGTGAGATGAGTTCTGATTGCAGATTTTGGAAGCACGTGAAACTCCTCGCCGGAGCTCTTTGGTGCACTGCGGCATGGTAGCCAGCCGAGTAATTGGCTTAATGGGAAGCACCTCCCCGGTTTAATTTGTGGTGGAAAAGCTAGGCTCTCCCTTGTCCTTTAAGACAGCTGTGGCAGTGATGTTTGCTGAGGTAAGGTCTGAAATATGCTTCAGTGTGTTCTGTGCTTGATACTTGGATGTTGCTGGGGTCAGGTCTGAAATATGTGAAGTGTGTTTTGGGCTTGATAACGTTGGCAAATCCTTAGTCCAGTTTCTGACTATAATGAAAGGACACGTGGCCTTTATCTAGTGTTTTAAGTCTTTGGTCACCGTCTAATTATCAAGCCACTTCCTCCTCAAAGATGTCTAGGATAAGGACAAATTTGTTCCGAACTTTTTAATATGTGACGAATTCGTAATACCTTCAGACCATAAAGTATAAAGTACTCAACTGAGGTCTAAAGAACTGAGGAGGTGTAAACGCTGTGCTTCTGTTACCAAGCAACATCACCGTAAACAAGTCTAATTTCAATTAGAACACAATTAAATGTGGCCTAGTAATCTGAGTTCAGAGTTCTCCACATTTATGCTTTTAGCCTATAGGTGGTTACATTTCTCATCTTTTGTATTTAGATTTGATTTCCAACCACGTTAATTAGAGTTAATAGAATGCTTTGATTTTTCTGTGTCACACATGACTTCTTGGAGACTTGCAAATGGATTTGAGTTGTTCTTCGGTTGTTACTTATTCCAGAGTTTGCTGGATATTTCTCTTTGAGTATTTCTTTTCTAATGAGATAAAGTATGCAGGCTGTATTTAGTAATAGTCTCAAATAACAAGATGCTAGCAATTTAGAGTTGCATACAACATTTGGAGATTGCAAAGCACAAGTTTTTAAGCCCTGGTATTGCAGTAGGCTCACTCTCCACTTGTTGAACCCTTAATGATATAACTTGTATGGTAAATTAAGTTTCCTATTTAATTTACTTTTTTAAGTGGTCTGTTTGGTGGGGAAGCAGTAAGACTGGGTCTAGCTTTGTAGCCTAGGCCCACTTTGAATTGGCAATTTCTCTTCCTCAGCCTCCTGAGTTCTGGGGCTGGGTGACGATGAAGACATAACTGCTGTAAGGTACGGTTGGGGAGGAGAGTTTATTGTAGCTATGAGGGAGAGAACAGAACAGCCAGAGGCGTCAAGAAGGGTCCAGACTTGACATGGCCCACAGAACAGACCCGGCCGTGAGAGGAGAGAGAGGGGGAGAGCGAAAGAGGAAAGAGGTCCCAGGAGTCAGGAGCAGAACCAAGAGCCCAGAGAGCGAGTAGTCAGAATGGCCAAGGTTCTGTCTGGAAGAGAAGCGAAGGTCAAGAGCTGGAGAGGTTTAGGGGAGGGAGGGCCTGGGGTTTGCCAGCCCCATGACTCTGTGCCAGGTACTTGTGAGTAGGAACTGAGGGAGCCTAGAGGCTGGCTTAGACCTTGATAGCTAATTCTACAAACATGAGTTATGGAACAGCCACATGCCTGGCCTCTTTTGCTAGAGATAAGATTGACTCCTTTTAGCAAGGAACAACTATCTTAGTCCCCTAGGGAGTGCTGGCTTTTCTCTAAATGCCAGACTTTGGGAAAAGGAATTTCTTGGGACCTAACAGGCCTGAAGGACTGGCTTAAATGATCTTTTTGTGTTGTCTGTTTCTACCTTTTTTTTTCTTTGTTGTTGTTTTAAATTGAAGCAGGGTCTTATACTTTAACTCAGACTTCAAACACCTGGCAAATCCTTGTTGCTCAGCCTTCCCAGTGTTGGGACTGCATGTATGAGCCACCATGCCCATAAACTGATATATGATGTCCTTAAATTCAAACTATTAGTGTGGTAGTTTGTAATTGGCCCCCATAAGCCTATAGAGTGGCACTATTAGGAGGTGTGGCTTTGTTGGAGTAGGCGTGACCTTGTTGGAGGAAATGTGTGACTGTGGGGATGGGCTTTGAGGTCTCCTTTGCTCAAGCTTTGCTCAGGGTGACATTCAGGCTACTTCCTATTGCCTGCAAGGTGTAGGACTTTTCAGCTACTTCTCCAGCACCACGTCTGCTTGGTTACCTCCATGTTTGCTTGCACACTGCTACATCCACATCCCACTGTGATGATTATGGACTGAACCTCTAACTGTAAGCAAGCCACCTCAATTAAATATCTTCCTTTATGAGAGTCGCTGTGGTCATGTGTCTGTTCACAGAAATAGAAACCCTAATTAAGACAATTAGCAATAGGAATTGGAACATCAGGGCTATACACCCTTAATACAATTTGTGTAAATTTCATTTTAGTTGTCATTTCCTGTGTCCTTCAGATGCTGATGTTGAAGTAATGAGCCATCGAGGAATTGGGCAAGATAGAGAAAAAAAAAATCAAGAATGATTCATGTTGTGCAATGTATACCTTAGTAATTGGAAATCAGCGTTATATCGGGGAATGTTCTAATTCAAGAATTGTAGAACGAATTCTTAAGAGAAAGATCAGTGATTTGTCATATGTAATGTATTAGGTTCAGTATGTACTTTACTTACATTGTTTAACAATGTATACTTCTGGGAATGTGTGTTCATAGCTGTATAAGAATGGCCTGCCAACTAAATTCTTTCAGAATATATTCACCTCTTGCTGTGTGTATATGCACATGTGTGTGGAGGCCAGATCAAGTGTGTCTGATTCACTAGTGCTGGAGATATTGGCAGTTGTGAGCCCAGCTAATGCAGGTGCTAAGATCTCTGGTCCTCTGCAAGAGCAGCAGAAGCTTTCTTTAACTTCTGGGCCATTTCTCCGGTCCCTCCCCACCACAACTGACTTCTTAAGATGACTTCTTCAAAATTGACGTCTCTCCTTGGCTGTCCAGGGTCATAACCATTATGGCAAAGGTGCCTTTGTCCAAACTGTTTTTCTGCCACTATCCTTTAAACCGCCTTCTCGTTCCTGTGTCAATCTTAATTTCTTTCTACCTTGTCCCAATTTCTTCCTGTAAAAAAATGTAAATGATACCTTCCCAATAAGGTTGAGTTTCACCCTGACATTTGAAATTCTATGGTATGCATTTGTGAGTCCTGTCTCTTGGACACTTAGAGTTTATGATCTGTTATCTTTTCTTTCTTCTTGACTAGATTAACCTCTATCATGGGTGTATCCTTTGTTCTTTTCTAAACAGAAGTCACTGAAGGACTGTTTCCTGAGTGACAAATGTTCATTTGTACCCCCACCCTTCCTATAGTCTAACGGAAGTCAGAACATGGTTGGGAAATGTAGGAAGGGAGCCATGAACCACAAGAATGGAGATGAAAGAATGGGGATCCCTGGAATCAGAAGAAAGATTTTGTTCCTAGAAAGTGTGAATGAATATTTGAGAATCTCCCATGACATTAGCATCACTGAGAACTCCCTCAAGGATTCTGGCTCTGCTCCCACGTGACAGGCTTGGTGAGTTTGGTCAGTTTCCTGGTTCCGCTTTAGAAGAGCTTCGGTTTTAAAATACGAGCCCTCAGTCTCCTTCCTTCCTTCCTTCCTTCCTTCCTTCCTTCCTTCCTTCCTTCCTCCCTCCCTCCCTCCCTCCCTCCCTCCTTTCCTTCCTCCCTCCCTCCCGCGTCCCCATGTTCTCACCATCTCATTTCTCTCCTTTCCATGCTACTTTTTAAACAGTCAACATTTAATTTATGAAACCGTGGCAGTATAAAAATCTGCTTCTCATAACTTTGCAGCCCTCTGAAGTTCATTACATGTCTGTTTTCTGTCAGGACTGCACTCTGGATAATGGAGGGATCACTGACTGTCAGTCTAGTACGGTTGCTTTTGTGTCTGAGCACTATTCTAGGAGGAGAGAGGTCAGGGAAGCTAGAAAGCGCTCACTTGTTGCTTCCTGTATGTTATTTCTAAAGAATTAAAATTTAGAGTGAGGAGGAACCTAAAGTCTGATCTCTTCTTTTTGGAAAATAATTCATTCTCAAAATATGTCTTTAACATTTTAAGTAACTTTAATAAGCTTGTCATAAATCCCATGTCTGATGTTTATAGCAAAGAGTGGCTATTGGTGAAGGTATAAAAAGGTGAAGTTGAGTATTGGGATGGTTTTATAAATCTTGGCTTAAGTTTTAAGTGAGCTTGCCAGCCCAGCTTCTGAGTTGTTGCCCAGTAACAGGGTTGCAGTAGAACATAGCAACCACTGAAAACTATAGGGATTTTCAGGCTGCACACCTAGCTCCAGCGTTCACTTTTATATTTCTCATCGACATCACATTTTATTTTAAAGCCG